ATTTAGTTTGACAAAAACAAGATTGAAGTTTATACAAATGTGCCAAATCAAGTTTTACAGTAGGCATAGGAATTAAACTGAACTATTTTTACAAAGCAGTAACAAAAAAGATTATCAAACTGCCATTTGGCTGCATTCTTTGCTATTAAATTTACATATGTTTACACTTTGAAATGTTCGGTTTTAATCAATATAGCTTTATTTTCACAAACACAGTATTTATAGAAGTACCCACGCAGTAGCAACTAAAACGTTTTGGGATTATTCTCATGGGATGTGCAAATTTTTCCATTCAAAGCAATTACAATACATAGGCAAAAGTGAAGTCAGCTACAATTAGAGTTGTCAGATCATGTTTAACTACATCTTAATCTAATCCATACAATTCCACATCTGGGTCTCATTTCCTGAATTCCTGTAGGTATTTTAGCCACTTTTAAGAACTCTTTCAAGTACAGAAAGTTCAAACAAGCCTACCTTAATCTAAAGATCTTTTTTAAAAAACAGAGCAAATAAATAATTTGCCTTATCTTTTAATCTTTTTCCAAGGCAAAGACCAGCAGCCCCTACCCTCATGAGGACAAGAAAACAGTTGAACACAGTTGAACGGCATTTTAAATTCATGAGCCAGGTTTCCAACAGTTAAAACTCCCAATTGACAAAAAAAGTTAGGACAGTACAAACATCATTCCACTCCACAGCTTGGGCATACACAAGCGTGTGCACACACACAATCCAAAATCAGGGTGTCTTACTATCACTTTTAATCTCAGGACACGAGAAGAATACACACCCCAGTTTAGCCACCAGTCTCTAATGCAAGCACACACAAACAGAGCCCTCACCTTTACTTCCTCTTCAGCTGTGCCAAACATCTATGTATGCACAACTTCCAGCTCTTTCTATGCTGAACTATCCTCACACCAACAGGGGCATTGGCTGAACAGACTACTCAGCAGGGGAGAAAGGAAAGGGAGGGAGGGAGAAAGAGCAGTTCTCCAGCCAAATTCATTTACAGTACATGTCAGGCATTTATAGAGACTGGACAGTTTCCTGCCCCAGATCAACCAATCTATGCCACAAAAACACTGATCGAACAAGGAACGCTCCTACTGGTCTTTTGTGTTCTTCCTATTTGTTCATATTTACACACACGTGTACACACCCCTGAGCAATATTATTAAGTAGTAGGTCTGCAATCACATCAAGGAACACCCCACCCACATACATAAGGCAATCTTTATCTTGTCCACTTGATCCCCTCCACAAACTTCTTTAAATATGACTTCTAAACATAAAACTTACATTAAAAATAGAGAGAAGCATGTGTCAAAATACTTGATATAGAAATTGTTCCGGCAGAGACCTCTCCCAGGCAGAGGCCTTGTCCCTGCCAATAATGAGAACCATGAGATAAGGAAGTAAGATAAACAATGACAACCCCCCCCCCACCAGCCATGAGGAAAAAAAGCAACAAAGAGGGATCTCCCTTCCCTCCCTCCATCTAATAAATACTGTTTCACTAAGACAGCTGATCCAGAAAAAGGGGGGTGGGTGTTCCTACAAGGTCCTAGGGGGCTTGCAGTTCTATAGCTCTCTCCCCCCCCCTTTCCATTAAAGAAATAACATCCTTGAAGTTTCTGGAAGCTTTCATTAGGGGCAGTTATTAATTAGAACTTTGTATCCAAATTATTTCCAAATTATTATTTCCAAATTATTCCCACAAAATCAAGATGATCCTTCGGAACACAAAAAAAGTATAACACATCACTCCAGGATCACTGATATCAACATTACACCTCATGTAGGACTTCTCTAGCCCCCAAATCTGCAAACACACAGGCGCATGAAGCAACAACTGGAAAATGTGTGAAAGGAAGAGGAGGGAGGTTAGTGAAACATGTTGACTGAGAAGATGGCACAGAACCTTCTCCTCCAAGCTGCAACCCAGCCTCTTAAAATGCAGAAAGGACAATTTGTACAGCTAAACAGGTGAACATAAGCACACAATTCCAGAGAAGAGACCTACATGCATATATCTCAATTTAAGGGGAAAATGACATAAGTGAAAAAAGAAACAGGTCCTGCTATTGAACAGCCTCCCTCCATTCTCAAAACCACTTCCAATGATTCAATTAAAACTTTGAAATGAGGAGTTTTCCTAAATAAGAGAATACCCCTTCTTTCCACAAAAGTGCAGATGATACAGAAGACAAACAGGGTTGGGGAAGATCAGTTCTAGCCTTAAGATTTCTTGACTGGAACTCAGGGAGCCATCCCATTTTTTAGGGAAAAGCATATGCGGGTGCAGGAAAGAGGTCCTTTCAAAAGAGGAGATTCCCCCCCCCCACCTCCACACTTCCTTTAAAGGATGGCGAAGAAAACCAGCAAAAAGTTCTCCTTTTGCCTATTACCCAAACATCCAGCATCACATGTAAGCAGAACAGAAGACCATCTCTCAGATTAACCTGAAGCTGCAATCTTAAGCATGACATTTACTAAGAGCAAAAACAGAACAGTAAGATTTATTTCTTTACTCCTCTTCCAATCTACCAAAAGAATTGGGGGTTTTTCATGGGAGGAAAACAGCCATGTAAGACTTGCCTTGTCCTCCCCCATTACAAGATCTCAGTCTCCCGCTTCGTTCTCTCTCGCACACAACATCAAAGGCAAACAGTGGACCCCATAACATACAACAGGATTAGACAAGTCCTCCCCTGACCTTGCACATTCTCTCTTCCTTCCCACACTATGAAAGAAGAATCAACTAATTCGACCCCTCCCCCTTTTAACTCTTCTGGGGAAATTGGGAAAGGAAGAAGTGGGAGGAAATGCTTCCTCCCCAAATACTGGAGTGGGGGGGGGGGGGAATTTGAGAAAATTGATATTATTTCACAAAGAGACTGAAATGCCTTTTCTAATAAAAATAGGAGGGGGGGTGAATAGAGAACTGCAAGGGTTAGGACTTACCTAAATACACTCATTATCAATTAGTACTAGCCAAAGCTTGCCCCAAAGGAAAAAAAAACCCTAAACCTTAAAAATGCATTATATAGTAAGGTCTCTTCAAAAAGAAAGGCAATATTTCAAATCTTCTTCCTCAACAACCCCCACCCACCCAAAAAAAAAAAAGATTTGGCTGAGTGGAGAGAAATGCAATATCTTGCCATTCATTAAATAAGCCAGCAAAGAAGGGGAGAGTTCAAAAGTCATTTTGAAGGGACCCCCCCCATAAAATAATGCCAGAATCTTAAAGAAGCTAAATCCAGTATTAAGGCAGCTCACATTTTTCCCAGCTATTCACATTAGTTTACCATCAGGGGAGAAAAGGCATACTTGGAAAGGGGAGAGGGTGAAAAAAAAAACTGACCATAGTGCTTCAATGACAGAGGAGGGAGAAAAATTGGGGGTTCCCCTGTGGGCCTCATAAGGCAGCTTTTGATACTGGGGAGGCAGGAAAGCTTTTTTCCCCTTCCCTGGTCAGTGTATAAACTCCTTGCAAAGTTTCCCACGAGCTTCAATTTAATGTATTGTTGAATTTGGTGTGCGTGTGTTGGGGGGGGGGGGGTTAAGTACAGAAGCAAAAATGTTTTTGGAGGGGCCAGAGCAGAAAGAAACATATTACAAGATCTGCACATAAAAACACATCTACAGCGGTTTTTCTTTTAGCGCTTCTTCCCCCATCTCATAAAATTTAGTCCCTGTTAAGAAGAAAAGGGACTCATTCTAGTAGGGAGGGGGCTTGAAATGAGTGAAAGAAACAGGTCAGACTCCCTCTGTTACAGGTTATTTTAATATTCCTTCCTCTGCATAAAAAAGAGGGGTTTCTTGAGGATGACAGAGTCAGAGAAAAGAAGCAACCCCAGAACATCCCCCCCCCTTTAACACACAGCTTTGGAAGGGGAAATCAACCTAGAAAATAGAAAAAGCAGAGCTCCACATGCATCTGTTTTTAAAAAAAAATATTATGATGATTTTAGTTCCATATTCTTTCACTTTGTAAAACTGGAGGACTGTTACAGAAAAAGAAGAAATATAGGTATCCAACGGAGGGAGGAAAAAAAAGAATAATAAGACAGCCCCCTCCTTCTCAAGTTAAATTTCCTTAACTCTATCCCCCTTCCCAAACTATGGCACTGTTTAAAAGATACTAATTCTGGGGCTGTTAATAAATAAAAGTGTTGTTAAAGTAGGGTCTGTTTTAGATGGGGGAGTGCAAAAATAAGTAGAAATCGGGAAATGGGGGGGGAACAATCTCTCCAGTTATTAATATAACCCTTCACTCTTTTCCCTCCCTTTTAAAAAAGGGACTAGTCGGAAAGGGGGGGGGAGGTTTAAAGAAAAGTGCTGTGGAAGAATTAAATGTGTCTGGGTTTGGAGGAAGGGGCTGCACAAATAATCAAGACACAAGGAACAGAGGGCAAACCCGCTCCCCGTTATTGTTATTACTATTATTATTAACCCCCCGGTGACTCTCTGTCCTCCCTATTTATAAAAGTAAGGCTGCGGGGGGAGGCTTAAAGGAAACCCGGGTTCCCGGAGTGATGCTGTTTTGGGGAAGGGGCGCTTCGGCGCGGGAGGGGGGGAGGTGGCGAAGCGGCTCCTCCATCCCGGGACAAGCCACCTCGGCGGCGGCGGCGCCATCTTGTTGGGATCGATGAATTGAACAAAGAGGATCAATTTCTGATCGCGGCGGCGGCGCCGGGTTATCGATGGGAGGGAGAGCGGAAAGAGGCGAGGGGAGGCGGGCAGGGCTGGCGGCCGCCACCGCCGGGTCTCAGCCAGGCTCGGAGGGAGCGGGGGGACCCGCAGGAGGGGGGGCGCTGCTTCTGCCGAGACTTTTTTTCTTGGGGGGGGTGGGAGGTTTTCTTAAGGGGGAAGACAAGGGGGAGCCCCCCCCAGGGCACCTCCGGGGGGGAGAGAAGGGGAGGGCGAAGAAGAGGGAAAGGGGGTCCCATGGAGAGGGGGAGACCCACGCGCCAGCGGACCCCGAGCCTGACCTGCAGCTGCTGTAAATCAAAGCGCTTCCAATATTGAAACATCGATCCCACATTGGCCGCCATCTTGAGACATATTGAGACAGAAGTGAGCGGCGGATCGAGCGAGAGAGAGAGAGGGGCTGGAGAGTGCACGGGGAGGGAGGGAGGAGGAGGAGGAGGAGGAGGAAAGGGGGAAGAGAGAGAGAGAGAGAGGGAGGGAGCGGGCGGGCGGGCGGCGGGCGAGACGCTCAGAGAAGAGAGAGAGAGAGAGGCCGGCAGCAAAGCCAGGCAAGTCGAGGGCGCGCGGAAAACCCGGACCGGCGAAACAGGGAGCTCTCGGAATGGCGGGCTGGACTGCCAGCCCAGGGAGAGAACATTACTGTGGGTTCAGACATTTTATCTCTGCGAAACGGGCATTCTTCCTTTGTGTCCCCAACAAGAAGACACACTTTATGCTGTTCTCTTTTGGACTTGGAACCCAAGTTATTCTTTTTTTTCCTTTTTTTTTTCCTCTTGCGCTGCATGCACACTTGCTGTATGTAATGGATCTGTATTTTTTTAAAAAAAAAAAAAAAAGACGCGGACTAACGCAACCTCAGGGTCATGAACAGAGGCATAATATCTTGGAGGGAAAACGAAGTATTAGAATGAAAATGGATCTGAATTCATTTTAAAAAGTCACCTGAAATGTTTACAGCCCTACTTTTTGGATAACTTTGAACAGCGATGGTTTTCTTTGGCTTTTCTTATGGATATGGATCTGTGTACAGATTTAAGAGTCATTTATTTGTGCATTTTATAAAATACAGCGATACGTGGAATAGCTATGCTGTAAAACTATCTGTAAAACTATTTTTATTATTGGAACATCAATAATAAAAATAAAATGCAATTACTTTTAGGCAAAAAATAGTACTGTCCTTAGAAGAGCTAGTTTAAACTTTTAATCTATGGTGTAAAGAACATCCCACCTGAATACAACATGTATTTTGATAATAATGGAAGTACAATAAATCCTCATAAGGTGGCATGTACCTATGTAAAATATAGAAAAGTGTTCAAGGGTAGTCCAACAGTATTCATCCCCAGAGCCCCTCTTTTAGGGGGGAGGTTAGAAACATGAAATATAATTAAAATTCATCTGGGCTTCACTTTCCTAACTGTATTTAAAAGATTGCAATAGTAAATATATTTATCTTAAAACAGATTTACTCTTTCGCAAACATACATGTGTTACAAATGTGCAGAATATAGTTCATCAATCAAATGCAGGACCTCAGCAATGCCTTCTCCCCTCCCCCCCTCCAGAGTCTTGTGTGTAGCCACTGCGTCCTACTATCAAACAGAAAATGTTAAGGTGAAAGAAAAGAAATATTACATCAATGGGAAGTCATCCCATTAATTATTTTGAATTAATGGAATTTGATCGAAATTAAACTGAATCCTTCTCCTGGCCTTGCCTTCCTTTTAGTAGTTGTGCCTCTGCATACGGTATAACTCCAAAGTCAAGCAGACTCCTTGAACCTCCCCCCAGCCTTGACAATAATAAATGAAATTAGGCATTTCTTTGCTTCCTTCTAATGGTTGTGTGGATTTTTGCAGCCCAGAGCTATAGCCCTAAATGAGATGGGATGGGAGGATTCTTTTCTGTCTCCAATATGCGGAGGCACACTTATTCCTATTAATGTCTCACATGTCACACACTTAGAAGCTTTCTGCTGAAACTGGAACCCGAAATCAACTTCGTTTTGAATTGCAGTCTAGTTCTTTTTCAGCAACAGCAGCAAATGCGCATGAGATGATTTTGATAGAAATAACGCTGCTTGAATACGTGTGCACAGGCGTACAACTTAAGCTGAGGTCATATAACTAAGCTTTTGAGCTGCAAGTGCTAATGAGTTTGATGGGGCAGGTACACAAGTCTATGCATGTTTATTCAGACATGTCCCAGTAGTTCCATGAATCTTACTTTCTAGTAAGGCTGTGTAGGATGTCAGTCTGAGTTTCCTCCAGGCACTCTGGAAGAGTTTGCATATCTTTCTTGCCCGCCGCCCGCACTACTAGCAAACTGCAATTAATGGGAACATTAGTTGTTATGTAAATGGCAATTTCGGTACAGGCAGGGCATATTCTAAACCTTGAATGGATTGGAGCGAGAATTAAAACGCTTTCATTTTACAACAGTCTGGATAAAAAACTTGTCTCTTAAAGCTGTTATTTGCCTTTCAAGAGAATTTTCCAGTGACCCCAAGAAGACTTTACTTGAATTGGGAACAGCTAACCTCGGCCCAAAGTAGAATCTCAAACTCAAACTAACAAGCATTGCATGAGGACTAGTTCATTAGCCCAAAAGCTAGAACACAGAGGCTTTTTTCTATATTTGTGGAGTCCTATGTAGTCTCTGAGCTTGGTGGTTTGCTTGCAGATGTTTCACTATTTGACTAGGTAACATTATCAGTTCTTTTCAAGTTTGTGTGTGTGTGTCTTTGAATCAATTTTGACTCCTGGTGAGTGCCTGGCGATGTCCCTACCATTTTCTTGGCAAGATTTTCAAAAGTAATTGCTCTTGCCATCTTCTACCTAGGGCTGAGACAGTGTGACTGGCCCAAGTCACTGGTCCAGTAGGCTTTGTGTCTAAAGCAGGACTAGAACTCACAATCTCCTGGTTTCTAGCCAGTTGCCTTAACCTATACTATACACTAAACTAGCTCAAAAATGTCTCCTAGGGCTCGGGGAAATGAAGAAAATTAAGACTTTCACAGTATGCCAATAAATATTTTTTTCAAAAAGTAAAAACTACAAAAGACAGCTACTGGCAAAACAGGGCCATTTTTCTTTGGTCACTTAGCTGGCAGCATTTTTTATTAACCCAAACACTAATATTTGGTTTATCACTGGGTTATATGTAATATTTTTCCAAGAATGTGCCTAAAAGAATTATAAATTAGGAAACCTAAGAACTGCACAAATTCTGCTGTTTCTTCTCTCTTCTAGCTGAGTGGTGGAGGATGTGTGTGTGTCTTTGTTCTTTCTTTCTTTTGCTTTCCTTTTTTCACCTCCTTGCCTAGCAAAGCTTTTTGAAACGCGAACCCTTGTTTGCCCACTGTCTTTCCGTCATTGCCCACTCCTGGCTGGGTGGTCAACCCAGATCTCCTCTCCCTTGGGAAACTCCAAGCCTGTCCTTCCTAGCCTGTCCTTCCTATTCAAACCTCACTTTTCTGCCACCTCTGGAGAGAGAATTCAGCATCACCTCAGAAGCAGTGCCCACCATGGGCACAAGGGTAGGCAGGGACCCAGGGCTGCTGGGAAAAAGCCTTAGGGCAGCAACTGCCTAACAAAGCCAACTGGGCCCTACAGTTGCCCAGAATAAGGTGAAGTGCTAAGCCACCTCCCATCAGGGTGGCCCTTTTCCTGGAGAGCTCCTCGTGGCCTCTAATACTACTTTTGCAGATTGCTGACAATGATTTGGAATTCACAATTTGGAAAACGCTGCCATCAGCCCTACATGACTGCTACCAGTTGGAACATACAGAGCAACAAGCTAATCAGTCTCATCTGAAACAGATATTTTGAATGAGCACACCCATATTATGGTAGTGGTTGTGAGAAGCAGAAAACTGGTTTGAGTAAACTTTGGTTAAAGGAAGCAGCAGGAAGCACATCATGAGAACACAACCATTGTACAGGTAGTTCTTGTTTAGCAACCATAATTGGGACCGGCAACTCAGTCATTAAGCAAAGCGGTCACTATGTGAAACCACAACTGTACTTATAATCATACTTCGGCTTTCCTTTGCTTTGTAGACCTGTGAAAGTCCCAAGTGCAAAGTTTGGTTGCAAAGTTATGTTTTCATCACCATTGTAAGCGATCTGAGGCGGTTACTAAGCAAGGACTACATCTATAGGTCTGATGGGTCAACAACCCCTCTATTGGATTATCTCCCTCTGCAAGGCAATTCCAGCATGCATGGATAGAGAGCTATTTTCAGGCTTGACTCAGGGAAGATGGGGGGAAGGGTGTCAAAAAAGTCACAATGGCAGTATTGTAGTGACTGTGCAATCAAATCACTGCTTCTTTTTTACATTTGACACTTACAAGCTACAGAGTCCCAAGAGATGAAGAAAAGAATGGATACAGCCAGAGATCAAAGTAAAAGACCCTCCCACATGCCCCCCCCCCAGTTTCAGCTTTCTTTCCCCTTGCCGGTAGCAGAGAAAAGGCTGAGTGGTCTTCCCCTAGATCTTAAATGATTCCTTGCAAAGAGATTTGAAATTAGCACAAGGGATGCTCATTGTCCAGCATCTGCTCTATTTGCAAAATGCAGGTTTACAACTGGTCTGCAGTGCTGCCTTTCACACACACATGTGCAGGCAAAACCCTTTCCCATTCACACATCTGCATCACAACTAGTAGAATTAAACAGCTGCAAGGGTTCAGCAAGGTTAAGCCCATGCTCAGGTAGCCCCCCCCCCAGATCAAAAGCAGTTCAGATAGTGTCTGCCCTTAGCCAAATAGCTCCCTTTGTAGCAAGCATGCACCCCATCATTGCTGTCATGTAATAAGTGTTCCTAAGTATTTCTTTTATTTTGCGTATCTCAGTTTCACCACCACCCCTCCCCACTCTTTGCCATGCAAAACCTTCCCTCCTTCTACTGCCTGGGCTGACTCTGTTTTATTGCAAGGACCAGATCCAGATGATTAGTTAGTTTTCAGAATTGGGAGGAAACAGGAAAGTAGGGATAAGGGGGAGCAGGGAATAAACCTAAACTGATAAAAAATAGAATGGAATAGAATAAAATGTTGATCATTAGAACAATAATAATAATAATGATAAAGTTGGAAGGGACCTCGGAGGTCATCTAGTCCAACCTCCTGCTCAGGCAGGAAACCCTATACCATTTCGGACAAATGGCTGTCCAGTTTCTTCTTAAAAACTTCCAGTGTTGGCGCATTCACCGCTTCTGGAGGCAGGTTGTTCCACTGGTTAATTATTATAACTGTCAGGACATTTCTCCTTAGTTCTAGGTTGCTTCTCTCTTTGGTTAGTTTCCACTCATTGCTTCTTGTCCTGCCTTCAGGCGCTTTGGAGAATAGCCTGACTCCCTCTTCTTTGTGG